TCACAAATTCCTTGGATAATATAAAGAAAATTTTTCAAACAATAAATGAAATCTTTAATTGTATTTTCTGAAGGACAATTATTTTTTTGTCCTTTATTTCACAGAATAAGGATAAACTAATATTAATAATTATTATTTGTAACCACCTAAACCCTTCCTCATGAAAAAAGATCTCCTTATATTAGAAAACTCAGTCATAATAGAAGATCCTCTTGTAGGAACGATTTGTCGAATGTAATAAAAGATCTCTTTAAATAACTAATTTCTCGAAAAATTGAACCTTTTAGTAGTATATTCCCATTAGAATATTCATTGTGTTCAAAATTTTGACAGTAAAATCTTAGACAACTACAGTCAGCATCGTGGCTAGACTTTTAAAATTCTAAAAATTTGTCTTCCGAAATCCTCAAAATTGTTTTAGTTCCCTGAGAAACTTTTTTATTTAGTATTATGAACATAAATGGGACACAGTAGAAGATTCCTAAAAATATTTTACGCTTGGACATATTAGAACACCAGAGACCTTCTATTGCGGAGAGAATTTTATATTTCTTATCTTCATAGTTTTTATTTCTGTTTCAGGTCGATCGTATTACTGACTTGATCGGCGCATCAGGTGTAAATATTACTAAAATTTTGATGAAACTATCGACAGATTCAATTAGTGATCAACAATTTTTCAAGGCTATTTGCGAAGAACACAAAAAACTCCAGCAACAAGTGAAAGAAGTGTTGACCTCCTCATCATCATCACTACCACAACAAACAACCACCAGCTTAGGTAGTCTTTAAGAAGGGTGTGGGGTGGGTGTGGGTGTGTGGGTGTGGGTGGGGAGATTCATCTTCTCTTCACCCGTATCTACACCCACACTCGCACCTACACAGCCACACCCACCCACACCCACCCACACCCACACACACACACACACACACACCCACACCCACCTCACACCCACACCCTTGCACTACGATGACATCATTTCTCCCCTTCATAGTGCAATGTTTAAGAAAAGAATAGAAAAAGAAAAACAATTGTTTCTTCGTATATATATATAAAGGAAAAAAAAAACTCTTTCATTAAACTTTAGTGTTGAAAATGACCCTATGAAAGGAGTCGAAAGCTTCACTGTAATAATTTTTTGAAAAAATAAAATGGTTGATGAACTTGTTTGTCTTATTATTTCATTATTCAATTATATCTCATCAAATAATGTTAATATTAGGGAGCTACTTATCAAGAGCTCATGCACTCAGTTAATAAATTCTGTTGCTTAGACTCAGCAAATGCGAAATATAAGAATGTTGTTGTGTTTCATGAGAGTAATAGCGTTGCATTTTTTATCATCTTGATTGCTTTTTTTTGCATATTTTCGCAGAATAGATATTTATCGAATCCTGTGGAATATCCCAAATAATCTTACGATTTCCCACAAGTATTCGACAACTTCCGATAGGATCCTGTAGAAATCCTTGGTATTAGATTCCGATAGGAAGTTGTCGGATCTGCTAGTTGGAAAACGTCGGATACACTAAAGATTCAACGGGGTTCAATAGAATTTATATCTGAATATTAGACATTGTTTCATCTATTCCTTTCTTGTCATCTCTCTTCTCCTATTTTCTTCCGATCGTGCAAGTAGTTGCAAATTAACACTTAAATCTAGTTTATTTTAACTGTTTACTAAATTCAATTATTAAATAATAAATTTAAAATAACAGTAAAATAGAATACTATACAATAAAATAAAATAAAGTTCAAATGAAATAAAATAGAATAAGCAAAATACAATTGACAATAGGTACTCAGTATTAATAAACTTTATATCATAATATAATCTAAAATAACATGAAACAAAATAAAGTAAAAAAAACAGAAAAAATAAGCCTAAGATACAATTAACTGAAAACAGAAATAAAATAAAGTAATATGATATACCATAAAAGTAAGAATAAAAATAAAATAAAAAAATAATTTATACTCAATGTTATTTGACTTCGTGTCGTAATATAAGCTAAAACAATATAAAGTAAAATACAATAAAATAAAATAAATGAAATAAAGTATCTAGATATACCTCCATTCCATCAGATTTTGCCGAATCTAACAGCGTAAATTTTATCTAAGTGTTTATTTTTCTTCCTGTTGTATATTATTAAATATAATAATAATAATAATCTTTTAGAAGATGTCAGGCTGTTGATTTATTTATACTCGTGCTATCATCTGTGATTATAGTAATTAAATGGTAATCTTAGTCGTGTAACTTATATTTTCTTAACTTCTCGTTTAAGGGTGCTCATTCTTTGAATGAGAAGAGCATGTTTAAAGCTATTGTGTATGGATGTGCAGGTGAGGACCTGTGAAAAATCACAATTCTAAGAACTGACTCTTTTTTGAGAATTGAGTCCATTGATCAGTTCTTTTCATAGAGATTCGGTATACCAATTATGATAATGTAGCCATTCTATTCAGTACTTGTTTCATTTGTCCAAAAAAAACACTGATTACCAGTACCAATACTAGTTCCAGTTCCTTTCAAAAGAACTGGACCGTTGGCACCAATTCAGTTCTCTAATCGAGAACTGTTACAGGTCCACTCACACCCGTACCCAACAAATACTCAGTTTCATTTTCAATTTATTCAATATTAACTGTTAAAGAAAAGAAAAAAAAAAGCTTTTTAATATAATCAAATAGATTAAAAATGCACGTAGAGGACATATAATGAATATATTTGGTCACGTACGTTACCTTGCATATGAACAGGTGTTATTATATCCTTTCAACATAAATTATCGGTGTATTAAAATAAAAAAGTAACTAAATGATAATAAATAATATTGTTTATCTTTTTCGATGGTACCCAGGTCAGATCCACTCATCGAATTCGACGTTTTCCGACAGTCGGAATCCATCATTATTCGTTAATTTCCGCCGTCGGATTCCGACAATAGAACCCGATGATATCCGACAATGGGAACTTGTCGGATCCAACTAAATTTGATGGTATGAAAGTATCTATAGATACTTTATTTCATTTATTAATTTTTTGTTGCTCTTTATTTTAGTGTATTTTATTTTAATGTAATTTTATTTTTTTATTTATTTTTTTTGTTTAATAAAAAGTTAAAATTAACTGGACTTAAGTTGTTAATTTGCACCTAATTGTTGGTAAGGAAGGAGGAGGGTGATCAAACAATATATAATGTTCAGGTATGAATTCAGCAGGATTCCGAGTGAATTCGACAATTTCATGTCGAATTTCAGTGAAAAAAAGTTCGACAGGATTCTGTGGGAAGTTGTTGGATTCTCGTCGGAAATTGTAGGATTGTTCAAGAAATCCGATAGGATCCGACTCTCGAATTCTTCGATCTGAGTAGATTGTTTTGTTTGTTTATTCTATAATTAGTCTGATTTAGTTATCAATTATTTAGTAGATAATTTCATCACATTAAATGTAATTATTTTTTTATTTGAATCTTGATGAGATCTAGTATATTATGTTCATAGTAAAGCCTTTATCTTCTAAAACAGTTTCAGAAGTGCCACTGATAAAACTAGCAGAAAAATAGAGTAATGACCTTCCTGATACGTCAATGATACGAACAGATCGATTGGACACACTATTTTTTGTACAGGATAATTTGATAACTAGAGTAACCATTGAGATAGAAGATGAAATGGAACTACTCCAAAACTTCTACTTGTTTTCTTTTTGATGATAGTGTTAACTAATCAAACGTGCCATCTATTTATTTTTATTAGACTAAAATCAAAAACTAAACATGACCTATGTAAAATTCTATATTTAAAGACCACATGTATTTTTGACACGACTTTTTTACAAATACACGTTTTTGTATTACTCACATATATTTTCGAAAAAAATAGTGAGTAGAAGTTTTAAGTTCAAGTTTCGCGGCTTCTCCCATTACAGACTTTAGCAATCAAGAATAACAAGCGTTAGATTTTTCAGAGTTTTTTTTTTTTGCAAAACTGATCAAGTTATAATTTTGAAAGATAATCAACATCATTGTTTGTGAGTTGATTAATATGTATAATAGTGCGTAAGATCTTCTTTAGATATCATAAATATATAAAATAAAGTTATTTGCCAATTAATTCAATGATTATAATAATAAGAATGTTAAGTTAAGAAAAATGAATTTAAAGCAAAAAATGAAAAAGCATGAGTGAATAGCAACAATACAAACAAAAAATAGAGCGTCCGTAGAAAAAAAGATAAAAATTCTGTTCGAAATGCAAAATTTAGAAAGGATTTTACTCTGATGTTCGATTATCGTGAAAAAAACTATAGTCTACAAAAAATATTTTTCACTTTACGTATTTTTTGTGTATTAGTTTAATGAAGTTAGAGAATATATATGTGAGTTTCACATTTTAGCCCCTACGGAACTGCGCTAACAAGCTTTTTTCCGTATTTTCCCGTCCCGTTTTCTGTGGGAATCGGGAACGAGAACGATATTTAAAAAATTTGTTCTCGAAAATCGTTGTTTTTATTTAAATACTCTCCAAATTTTGCTCTTTCGAACGAAAAATGTCGAAGACAATCCGATGCTGTATTATTGAGAAGTAGATTTCGACATTCTTCCAAAGGTTTTGCATCGGTTATTAATTAAAAGACATATAGCAAATACCTATCAATAAAAATTAGACAAATTCATTGATTATTCATTAAGTTGTAATTAATTCAATTATCATAACTATTTTTTTCTTTGTGATTATCATCTTTGAAAGGACTATTATTCAGATTATCTCGCAATATAGCATTATTATTATCTTCTCTTCTTGAACGTTTTCATTTTTCATCAGTGGTGTTGATGTGCTACTCTTTTTTTTTCTTCTTCAATTTTTCAATTGATGAAAGAAGTAATTCTTGTAACTTAACCTTGATGAATTTCGATATATAAATAGTAATTGATTTATTTTACTAAAATGTACCTTCAATGATCATTTTTTTTTAAGATCATCTCGTGTTATGGTAAGGTACAACGTTGACACAAACTAGTATCTGACAATGATAGTTTTTATCAAACACAAAAAAATGAAATCGTAATAGGAATTCTGAAAACATTACGGAAATGGGAACACGCGAACGAAAACAAAAATTTTATCATGCTTTTCTTACTTTAATTAGATACAGTGGCCGTCAAAACCAGAGATCGAAAACAAATCGAACTATTACGGTTTAGTTGGAGTCGATCCGAGCCGAACTCGAACCAGTAAAACTTGCTTCAATTCGGTCTCTAATCAAAACTATTCAACTAGATATAAATTCGATTTTTTGCTTTTGCAGTACATTCTATAAAGAATTCAAATAGTAACTTCAATAGAGAAAATTGTTTTCAAAAAATTTATAGAAGAAATTATATTTATGATATCTGAATTTTCTAGAAAACTAAAGGCCTGAGTTTTCAGCACCTAGACTCAAATAATAAATTTTTTGTTTTTGATTACGAGAGACGGTAGAGCGGAACGTTATCAGCAAAATGAAATGACTCCGAGTTCTCCGCGACATTTTTTGTTTGAACTACACCAAATTCACGGAAAATATAAAAAAACCGTCTTTTGAATCGTTTGTAAACTTGATATAGTTCAAATAAAAAAAAAAAGTCTCGGAGAACTCAGAGCCTTCTTATTTTACTGAGAAAGTTCTGTTCTATTGTTCTCCGTAGGCAAAAAAAACAAACTTTTATTATCTGGTTCTCGGTGCTGAGCACTTTGGATTTAAGTTTTCTAGAAAACTTGCATCTGCTAGTGTGTATATTCATTAATTTAGTGTTATCAAATTATTGAAAATTAAAAAAGAAAAATGAAAATAAAAGGATTGAATTTAACCAAGCAGAAGAAGTGAATTGGTAAAAGTCTTTCATCTGACACAATGTGCATTGAAAAGAATCAGGTGAATTATGTAGATGTGTTTCAAAGCTTAAGCGTAAAAGAATTTTATTTCTATGTATTAAACTCTTCTCATGAAAATTTGCTTTGTTTCTAAATAATAATACAATTTTATAGTTAAACTAAACCAAGTAGTGGGACTTTGTCATGTGAAATGACTCATAAAAAAGAAATACAATAGAATTTGCTGAGCGTTTTAAAAATGAGTATTCGTATTTTTATAAGCATTCTATTCTTAATAACATTATATTTATCGAATCATAATATTCGACAAGTTGTCAATGTAATTGTATTACAATGTTTTTTTTTCTTCTTCGTCTATCTTGTTAAACAAAAGTCAACATTTTTGAGTTTGCAGTAGCTAAAACATTAATATTCTATGTCATTTTTTTTTTATTCCGTTCTCTATAGTTTTATTTGTCTTTGTTTTTTTAGTACTTCTAAATTAAGCTTATACTCATTGGTGGGAGGAATCAAGTCACTATAGAAAAAAATAATAACAACGAAAGAAAAAGAACAAGTGTCGCACAAGGTAAAGAAACCTTAGTGAGTACAACGGTGCAAGATCGCGCAAAAAATAGAACACATAGTTAGTCTGTATTTATTATGATTGACATTATTTGATAGAAAGAAAAAAAACACATTCTGAGAGAGAGCAATAACTAGATTTCATTCCTATAAATATACACTTTATTTAACAACGCAATGACCTACAATTTCAACTCATTGAAATAGAAAAAAATCGTAGAAATAGTTTAAAAACTTGTAAGTAAAATAACAAAGAAAAATTATGTTTTAAGTAGTGATGTTTATGATCTTGAAATATTTATTCAGAATAAGTTTTTTTTTTGTTCAGTAAGCATCATGGTTGATCTATCGAACTATCCTTATCCAACGTACGAATCAAATAGAGCTGCTGCTGGTGCACTTGCTGTACTCATCGGTATTTCATTAATTGCATGGATTGTTCAATCAATTCAAATACGTTTTAAACCACGTCGACCTATTATTCTTATGCTCATATCTCATCTAACCATTGTTATTCATCTTATATTACGTGCAGCTTTTTCTACGGAAAGACGTAATTCGAGAGTTGGTTTTACAGTTATAACAGTTCTACTTGCCGTTGGTCTACGTACGATTATTTTAGCCAATTATGATTTTCTTACACAAGTAGACAAACTTAAAACATGGATCTCTCGAACTATTATCATAGGATCGATGGTCACCGTTATTGGATCAGCAGTTCTCATGGCTCCAGCTGGTACATTATCATATGACTCTGATACAATCGAAAGAAGTTTTGCATTACGACAAGCATCATCTGGCATTATTCTCGGTTTAACTATTCTCTTCTATCCAATTTGGTTTGCAATAAAAATAACAAAACATATGACAAAACAAGCTATTATTCTCTTGATTATTTCAAGTATTGCTTGTTTGATTGTTTCTATTTTTCTTGTAATTACATCAGTTCCACAATATTATGTTGATTCAAATGATAGAGAATTTTGGTTCTATGTTTTTCAACTTACACCTATTGCTATTGCACAATTCACATGGACAATCTTACATCCAAAACGAACATTAAAACCAACAGATCCATCAAAAGACGCAGCAAATATCAACGCTAACATTAATGATGACTTGTAAATCATATAATTTTAAAAGACTAAATTGATGTCAATAAAAAAAAA